AGCCCACAGGGCTCGAACCGCGACGGCACGAGCATGAAATCGGCCCCAGCCGTCATGAGATGTGCGAGCGGCACATTGAACTTGACGACGCCGCGCGCCTTGTCCGGGTACTTGACCTCGAGCTGCTCCAGCTGCTTCTCCAGGTACTTCTTGCCCGTGCCCAGCACGATCACCTGCACGTCCTCCTTGAGAATCTCCGGCAGGGCGGCGGAGAGAATGTCGGAGCCCTTCTGCTCCTCCAGGCGCCCGATGAAGGCGAAGAGCGGGACTTCCGGGCGCACGGGGAGACCGACCTCGGCTTGCAGGGACTCCTTGAGGAGCGGCTTCACCTCCAGTACCTGATGTAGGGTGGAGGAAGGAGAGGCAGGAGATTGAGAGACATGAGATTGAAGCGTGAGAGAATGCGCTAAGAGTGGCGTCGGAGCGTTCGTGCACATACGGGGAAACCAGCAAATCGCGAAGGATCCGAATGAGCAAGTCGATTTCAGACGCGCGGAAATAAAATTCAGTTTTCATGAACCGCGTCATGAATTTTTTTTCCTCACTCTGAAATTCTTTCCACAACATTTGCATTCAATTTCAAAACCGAGCAGCATCCCAGAGCAAGATCCCTCGAGAGCACTCACATTGGAGATGTCGTATGTCGTGTCGAGGTACTTATCCTCGCTGGAATCCCACTCCGTGATGACGAAAGAAGTGTTTTGAGACGTCTCAAGACCCAGCGAGAGCACTCACATTGGAGATGTCGTATTGCGTGTCGAGGTACTTATCCTCGCTGGAATCCCACTCCGTCGTGTCCATGCCGTTCACAATCCCGCGGCATCCCACCTCCCGAATCACATCGTCCAGCTCCACGCCCTTCGCCGGCCCGGACTTCAGCTCCGCAGCATAGTTCGGGCTCACAGTCAGCACCAGATCCGCCTCCAGGAATCCCGCTTTGAGCCAGTTGATCTTGGGGCCCTTCACGGGCTTGTCGGACTCGTCATAGAAGGCGAACGAGTCGCGGAAGCCCTCGGGAAGGTTGAGCAGGTTGAAGTCGTCGATGGGGAAGCGGCCCTGGTACGCGATGTTATGCGTGCAGAAGGCCACCTGGAGGGTGGGGCGATGTGACAGGGAACGTGCGCGGAAAAGGGTAGGGGCATTTTCAATTCGACTCAAGAATCGACTAATCACACGCGGAAGCGGCCCTGGTACGCGATGTTGTGCGTGCAGGCTGCCCTGGTACCCGTACCTTGGCGCTGGAGAACTGGTTGTACGGCTTGTAGAACGCCTTGAGGTAGCACGACACCAGCGCGCTGTGCCAGTCGTTCGCGACGAACACCACATCCTCGCCATAAGGTCCCGAGTAGTACTCGCTATTGTTCAAATTCAGGATCCGCGGGGCCTCGATAGCGGCCTGGCAGAAGAGGCTGAAGCGGAGCTGGTTATCCTGATAATCGGTTCCCGCGACGGGGCCGTAGATCTTGCTGCCGGTCTTGCCGTAGACCTTGGCGAGGAAGAGCGGGTGGTCGATGAACACGCGGTCCACGCCGCGCTTGTAGCAGTGGAAAAAGCGGACCGTCTCCACACGGTTGCCCACCTTCACCTGCAAGTCGGAAGGCAATGGCAGCAGCGTGAAACGCGGCGTCAGTGACGGAAGCCGGAGGTCAGAATGAGTGACGACAACGCGGAAGGCAACAGTTGAGGCTGGTGGAAGTGGAAGTGGAAGGCGTCGTTTGCTATGCAAGATGCTAGACGAAGGGATGGAAATTCAGGCTTACGTCAAGGGTGACGTCAGTGTCCCAGGCGTCCTTGTACTGGTCGTAGCGAGGGGAAACGGTCATCACGCGGTGACCGCGGGCCTGCCAGGACACACAAGGAACAATAGCACCGATAAGATACGTGATCAGTAACATACGTAAGGGACATTAGGTTAGAGACTGCTCCGTAACAAAGCACAGAGTGATATTGAACAATATTTGAAAATAAGATGAAATGAAGGAATTTGCGTGAAAGGGATCTGCTTACCGCAAGAGCAGGAGGAAGACCACCCAACACGTCGCCAAGACCGCCAGTCTTGCTCCAGGGAGCGACCTCAGCCGACACGAAGACGAGCTTCATTCCAGGCTCCACCTCGCACTTCACCACTCCCTTAGCAGATCCAGCCTGCTCCTTGCCGGCTGACACCGCCTTAGCGACGGTTGAAGCCAGGGAAGGGGTCTGAGCCGCGACATTGCCTGGCATTGCCCGGTCGGATCGGAGACCCTCGAAGCCGGCAACCATGAGCTTGGAGGAGTCGGCCTTCTTCTGGGATTTGGCGATGCCATGGCTGAGTTGGCTGGTTACTCCACGGCTGATCGTCGCATTCAAGGCGGTGGCCATTGAGAGAGCTTTTTCAAGTAGCAGGGAAGGCAAACGGGAAGTTTGGCCTAACGAGATCACAGGTCAGCTCAAATAACCTCAACGGAGGAGGTTAACGAGAAAGGAGAGATGGAGCTCCTGGAATTTTGGTCTTCGAGCTGGGAGAGCTACCAGAAATAAGGGGATTCAGGATTCTGAGAAAAGCTGGACCTTGAATTCCCTGAATGCGGAAATGCATGTCCCAGTCCGTGTCTTGTAGATTTGGCCTCCTCGCAGCGAGGAAAGCGGCGACTGTGGGAGGAAACAGATCGACGGTCAATAGAAGCGGAGCCCCGGAGATCGATGGTCGTACGAGCCCAATTCAGCTGTCATGTTGTGAGGTTGGGCTTCGTCCGCGCCGGGAATCCTGAGATGACCCGACTCCTGCCTGAACCGAAACCGAGTGATGAAACACATCAAGGAAACGGTTGCTGATTGCTCCTGCTCGAAATTCTCCAAGAAGATGGGAGATTGACTACAGGCCCAAATTTCAGCCACGCAAGATATTGAGTCCACGCATGACCTGGCTTGGGTCTGGGATGAGTCGGCATGGGGAGGCAATAAGAATCTAATGGGAGGAGGTGTCAGCTGACTGGAAATCATACGTGACAGTAACGCGATCTACGCCACAATAAATCGTTATGCGAGTCGAGTCTAGACACGTGGCCTTCAAAATTCAAATTTGTGCCAGGTACGAGCCGCATCCTGCTTGTCTGTGAGCCCCACGGTAACCCCCTATTGAGGAACGGCGGAGCTCCACACATTTCAAGTTTGGGTGCAAAGGATCATCTCGAGGTCCATTTCATTCTTCTGTGGGATCTCCATGATTTATGGATGTGCGGCTCATAAGCCTCATCGATATTCAGCGTTCGAAGCAGACCATGACATAAACTGTACATGATTTCGTATGATACCTCAAAATGCAAATGAAAGCCAGACAGACAGAATATTCAAGCGTGAGACAAGCATTGGTCACCGTCACTGTTGCAAACTTTCGCGGTCACCAGAGAACAGAAAGCAGATTTGTGTCTGTTGTGCTACCCAAGTCTGCTAGCTGTTTCCTGGCCATATTTTCTCCCGAGAGCTAGTCTTGCAGCGCGCATCGCAACATATATTAATTGTCGCATTGAAATCCTCGCAAATCAGCGGAGCCGCGCAAAAACCTTTCGGACAAGGACTTCCATGGCTGGCCATGGAAATGCGTTTTTTGATGAGCAGGCGGGCCACTGGGACGACAAACCATTGCATCGCGAAATGGCGGCTAAGGCCGTGGAGCAGCTGTTAGCCAATGTTCCGGTGAAGGAAGGCACAACCGTTCTGGAAGTTGGTAGCGGTACTGGGCTTTGTTCCGAGATGCTCGCGGCGAAGGGCGTCAAGGTTGTCGGCGTAGACACCTCCATCGGTAAGACTTGTTCGTTTGTTTCTGAAAGCAATGATTTTTCATTCGTTCCCGTGGTACATTGAGCAGAGATTTAAGCAAGTTGGACATTGTCGACGCGTCGCTGTTCACACGTGTGAATGCGGTTACAGAAATAGTTCGTTACGGACCTGATATTTCCGCTTGAGAACGCCAGATATCCGCATTGCTTTCAGCTCAAAGCTTCCGTGAAGTATGGATTTCACGCTGATCGCAATCTTCAAATGGACATGACTTTGAAAAGGCATAAATTTCCGGATTCCGCTTTCATTGTCCAGGCATGGTGAATGCGTTCAACGCCAAAGCGGAGAAACTCGGTCTGGCTGACAAAATGAAATCCGTTCAGATCATGCTTACCTCGGACAAGACCCCTCAACAGCAGCTTGGGGACTTGCTACCAGCAGAGGGATTTGATGTTGCCTTCTCTCATCTCACGTTCCACCACGTCCCAAGTGAGTCACTCGTTTCAACAACTTTTTCTTTGCAAGCTCTGTCTTCCAATTGACATAGTTTCATGTTTCATTTCTCCGAATAAACATGCTGCTGTTTGGCTGTTCGTGATCAACATTGTCCACGCCAACCCTTTTCCTCATGCTGACTCCCCTTCCTTGCTCATCAGGTATTCCTGAAACTCTTCTTGCCGTGATGAGCTGCCTGAAGGAGCACACCGGGGTTGTCGCCATTTCAGACTTCGAAGCAGAACCCCATGCAGCAGAATTCCACCCCTCCAATATCCATGCGGAGGTGGAGAAGCATGGGCTGGCTGTGGATGAACTGGAAAAGGATATGAAAGCAGCAGGTCTACAAGAAGTGAAGGTGCTGCGGCCATTCAAGATTGACAAGGAGGTGGAGAGTGGCGGGTCCAAGAAGTTTCAGTTTATTCTTGGCTTGGGCACACGCCCTTGAAAATATCACATTGTACAGTTACTGCAGCATCTCTGCTTGGGATCCAAAATTGATTGATTTTACTGACTCCAACATTTGTTTGCAGGGATGTGCTGTCACAAGGATTTGTACACTGAAACCACACCAGTTCATGGGAATCAAAAACATCACTGCTCAGTAAAACTGGCGAAAGCTGAGAACAGTGTATGAAGGACAGCAGTTGAACTGACAGGAGCTGGTAAAGGCTCTCCAGGCCATGCCAAAATTGTTGTCCAGCAATGTGGACGGGCAAAGACCCTGGAGGAACCAAAGCCTCAATTCAAACCGGGGTGTCAAAGATGGTCTCGATGGTTGATTGGAAGAATTTCGAGGCAGTTTGCACATTGCTGAAGGCATCCATAATGTACTCCCTGCCAGGCAGAATGCAGGCATAAATGCCAGTGGAAAGGGGGGTTTCGCAAGTTTCCGTGCTTGGACAAGGCAAGGACATGTATGGTGCTGGTCGAGGAGGTAAGTGAAGGTGACATGGCTGGCTGCCGGTAGACACGACTCAGTAACCACTGGTGATGGCAAGGAAGGATGGTTGCACACTTGCAAGTACCACGTGGGAATGGTTTGTTCCTACTGTCAGTCACAGCTACAAGGCGAATACGCACATGATGATAACGTCCTTGTAAAAGCGAGTGGGACATGGGTATGAAGCAGTGGAGACACGGAAACTCACCGAGGAGGGGGGTCGGAGCCCTGTGCCTCGTCCAGCAACCCATGCAGCTGTCTGTACGACCTGCTCATGTTGACGGGTTGAGGGGCAGGTTAGTCATCAGAAAGGGAGAGGGGGAAAGGGCGGAGCAGATAAGTTTGAGGAGAGGAGGGGGGTCGGAGCCCTGTGCCTCATCCAGCAACCCATGCAGCTGTCTGTACGACCTGGTCACGTTGACAGGTTGATGAAGAGCAGGTTAGTCACCAGAAAGGAAGAGGGGAAAGGGAGGAGTGGAAAAGTTTGAGGAGAGGAGGGGGTCGGAGCCCTGTGCCTCGTCCAGCAACCCGTGCAGCTGTCTGTACGACCTGCTCATGTTGACGGGTTGAGGGGCAGGTTAGCCACCAAAAGGAAACAAAAAGAGGAGGAAACGGGGGAAGTTCAGTGGGAGGCTTCATTCATTTACAAAAGATAGCAGAAGTAGCTGCGGTATTTGACAGGTTCAGAAAGTGAATTCAGACAAAGTTCCTCAAAGCCTCCCCAACCCTCATCCATTTACATCTCGCTCCCTCCATCCCCTTCCCCACTTCTTCCCCCCTCCCGCCCACCAGATGAGGTCGAGCAGAGCCTCCTCTCCCAGCACGAGCGCGGGGTCGTTCTTATCCAGCAGAGAGGCAGCGTTCTTGAGGATGAGCTTGAACGTGCACAGCTGGGGGATGGATGGTGGGGTGGGGGGGTGGACACAGAGCAGATGAGAGGCCTATGGCATCCAGTGCTGATGAGGTCGAGCAGCGCCTCCTCCCCCAGCACGAGCGCCGGGTCGTTCTTATCCAGCAGAGAGGCGGCGTTCTTGAGGATGAGCTTGAACGTGCACAGCTGGGGGATGGAAAACAGGGTGGGGGATGTGGAGGCAGAGAAGTCTGATTGACGGGCCTCACAACTTATCCAGCAGAGAGGCGGCGTTTTTCAGGATGAGCTTGAACGTGCACAGCTGCTGGGGGACGGATGATGGGTTGGGCACAGGGACGTCTGATTCAATACGCCTCTCAACTTATCCAGCAAGAGGCGGCATTCTTGAGAATCTGAACGTTGCACAGCTGGAGGATGGATGGCGGGGTTGGGGTGGTGGATGCAGAGACGTCTGATTTGATCCACCACACAACTTATCCAGCAAAGGGCGCATTAGCTCAAGGCTCCTCACATTCACAGCCCCCTGACCTACACTTCCCTCACCTTCACACACTCCTCACCTTCACCTGCTCTCTACCTCACTATGGACCTCACATCTACATCCATCTTTCCTCCTCAACTTCACATGCCACTTACTTTCACACCCATCTTTCCTCCTCAAATTTTCACCCACTTCCTCCTCACCTCTACAACGGCCCTCACATCTACACCCATCTTTCCCCCCTGTCTCTATGCCCCTCCTGCTACACCCTCACCTCCACGCCAGGAGTGAAGCCTGGAGCGAGGCAGTCAAGGGAGGCTTCCCTCACTCCTGCCTGCACCGACGCTAGCTCAGAGGGGGTGGTGGAGGCCTCTGCAGTGAAAGAGTGGATGGGACGGAGAGAGGAGGAGAAAGCAGCGGGTGTGATGGATGTGGAAGAGAGGCGGTCAAGAGAGGGTTTCCGCACTCCTGCCTGCACTGACGCCAGGTCAGAGGGGGCTGCACTGCAGTGAGTTAGTGGAGGTGAGGGAATGGGAGCGGAATGGAGAAGGAGGGGGGCGAGCGAGAGAGAGAAGAGGGTGCGTTTGGCTGGTGCCTCTCCCCTTGCACTCATGCATGCACTGACGCCAGGTCAGACGGGGTACTGGAGTGAGATAGGGGAGTGGAGAGAGAAGGAACGGAGAGAAGGGAAGAGGCAAACGCAGCCTTCAAAGAAACAAGGCGCACAGAGAAGAGCATGAGAGGGTTGAGATTCGACTTGACTCACAGAAACCACCAACTCACGCATCCCTTCGTGGACTTGGCACGCGCCAAGTCACACACAGACCTACCTGGGTACTCAACTCACTCACCGAACTCAGCCTTGGCAGCTGCAAGGTGCGCGGAAGAGACCATAAGGGGGTTGAGGAGAAACTGCATTGACTTGCGCTTCTGCGCCTTGAGCCACTCCTTGGGACCCGCTGGTGCGGTTAGGGAGGATTGGAGGCAGGGAGAAGTGTGAGATGAATCCGAAAATGAAGGGGTGGGGGAGTGGGGAGTGGGGAGTGGGAGGAACAAGAGAGAAGGAAACGGGTGGTGTGTGCGGCACCGAATGGCCCCTTGCGCTTCTGAGCTGTCTCAGAAGTCGTTTTGAAACGTCTCAAAAGTTGGAACAAGAGGAAACGGGAGGTGTTTGAGGCACCGAATGGCCCCTTGCGCTTCTTCCAGCTGCACTTCTCTGTGGCCGCTGAGGTCGAAGCGGGGGGTGATGGGGGAAAAGGGTGGAAGGGCGGAGAGGGCGGAAGGGCGGAGAGGGCGGAAATGGCAGAGAGAACGGAGAGGCTCAGAGGGCGGAGAATGATAAATGCGAAGGGTTACTGAAGGGTCCAAGCCAAGCTCCATTGCTCCTACAATGCTGAATGGGAAGCACGCACACAGGCCGAAGGCTTGAGCACTTTCAGGAGCGGCTGTCGCGGCAATCCCTAGGCTCAGCGCTACAGCGGCAGCGGCGGTAGCAGCTGGAGCGAGGAGAACTGACCGACGGCTCACTCCCGCCGCCGCTGCAGCTCCCGTTTCCGCTGCTGCTGCAGCGGGAGAATGCTCTTGCGACAGATTTTTAGAGCATTTGCCGTTGACGGAATCGTTGACGGAATCATCGACGGACGACCTTATCGCCAATGATCTTCTCGGTAGGGCTCGACCAGCGGCATTGGAATTTGCTGGCTGACGTGGCAGCGCGTGCAGCGTGGGGACGCGGCATTGGCTGGTAGCCGACCCGAGAAGAGAGGCCATGGCGTCAAGAGCGTCCGTGAAATGCGGGCTCGCGGGCGCTGAAGCGAATGGAAGCGAGTGGATTTGAGACCAGTTATTATCGTAGAGCTCGGATTAGCAAGAAGCCTTTTGAGAGGATTTCCACCACTTGAGGTGAGACGGGAAGCAGGTTTGGGTTGTTCATCATTTTTAAAGTGAGAATTTTAGGGGCGGTATATCGAAGGAGCGGTCAGTCGAGACTTTCAAACGGGTACCGTCAAACCCGACATTTACCAACATTTGAGCCGCAGAATTGGCGATTTGGGCACGAATTTGGTGCTGCTGCTTGCTGGAGATTTTTCTAGAGACCCCTCGTCTGCAGTACTACCCACTGCCCACCACCCCAGACAAGAACGGTCCCCTCCAGTTCAAACAGCTCAGGTTTGGAGACTTTGAGGGGAGAGCAATTCTTGCAGCTAACGGGATCACCAGCGGGACGATCAGGGGTACAGCTAGCAGGACAATCAGAATGCTGAGCTGCGCCGCGTGTGCTGGGCTGTAGGGTGTGCCTTTCACGTCGCGTCGTAGTGGAATCAAGAAATACCCAACTCGCCGCCGCCAGTAGCATGCAATCGGTACGCGCGCTCGCCCTTCCTCCGCCCGCCGTTGCCCATTGCTAGTTTCGCGCGAACCTGGGACTTTGAGCATTCTATGAGAATCTTGAGGCTCATCGTCGTTGCAATTTCCCTGCGATCGATGGCCTATCCACCCAAGAGAGCTCCCTTTCCGGTTTGCAATATCTTCCTCGCCGCGTCTCCTTTGTCGTGAACTTGCGCGGTCCGTCTTTCTCCGTTCTCACAGTTGCTCACCCTGACCTTCACAATCACACAACTAATCACCCTGATTCTTATATCCACTCAATCACGCACCCTGAACTGCACTCTCACGCACATCCTGCTGAACCCAACTTGCAAGCTATCTACTACGCGCGGGGTAGTCGTTTCAAGCGGACAACGCAGAGAGCTGCCTTTTCCGCGCTAGATCACACTGACACTTCGAAATCTCCCCTTCTCCTCCCTGTCCCTCCCTGCCCCACTCTCCCTCCTCCCCTTCCCCCTTCACATCCAGGCCAAACTGCTGACGAGGCCGTGGATTGCCCACGTGGCAGAATCTCCAAGCGCGACGCTTCGCCACCTCAGCATCCGTTCCTCCCACCTCCTCCAATCAGCCCTCAGTCCGTCTCCTCTCTCCAACCTATCTCGACCGTTGATCCCGATCCAAGCCCAGATCTCACCGTCCATCAGCCCAATCCGCAGCATCAGCTGCTACAGTCTTCTCCGACATTCCCAAGGCTTGCATCTGCTGAGCACTGGGATGGAGCCATTGGCGTGTAGTGGACCGCTCAGTTCACCGCCTACTACCGCCTCTGCTACCATGAAAAGCATGAGCACTAGCAGAGGGATTGGCAGCGGCATTAGCAGAGGCATTGGCAGTGGTGCTGGTTTAGGATCAGGCCAGTTTAGCAGCGCTCAGTCGCCCGCCTATTCATCATCGCTTTCGTTGCTAGAGAAGCTTCGCAGCAACTTCCTCCGCCAAGAGCACACCAATAGATTCCCCAAACACCACCTGTCACCAGCAAAGGTTCAGGGCTTAGGGTTTACCACCTCCAGGCTCCAGAGCACGGGGTTTAACAGGATAGGAAGCAGCGGTGGGTTCATCTCCCCACCAGCGCCGGCACTCGGGTCGATAGGCAACCGGCTTTTAGCTGCTGCAGCTGGGTCTGATAAACCCCTGTTGACCCGCAAGCTGACTTCCTTTTCATTCTCTAGCAGTTCTCGCTCTCCCAAGGACTTGGATTCAGAGAGGGATGGGCAGCGGCAGGGGCAGGGGCAGGAGCAGGGGCAGGGGCAGGGGCAAGGGCAAGGGCAGCGGCAGGTTCAGGTGCAGGCGGTGAGGGGAACAGAGGGGATGGGGGAGGAGGCGCAGGGGGGTGGGGAGCAGTGGCAGGGGCCGAAAAGAGCGGTTGTGAGTGGTGCTGGAAGGGGAAAGGAGGTGGGGGGTGTGGAGGGAGGAGAGGGAGAGGAGGAGGCAGAGAACGGGAGTGGAAGCTTGAGTGCGGGAGAGAGTGGGCTCGAGAGTGGGTTGGAGAGAGGGATGAACAGTGGGCTTGATAGCGGGATCGAGAGTGGGAGCGAGAGTGGGAGCGATAGTGGGGTTGAGAGTGGGGTTGAGAGTGGGTTTGAGCGTGGGTTTGAGAGCGGGAGTGAGGGAGCGAGTGGAAAAGGTGCAGGGAGTGGCAACGGGGCAGCGGTGGTGGCAGTGGCAGCAGGCAAGGTGGAGGAGGTGGAGCTGCATGAGGAGGCGGTGCAGTCATATGTGTCATATGCCATGTCCGTTATAGTGGGTCGTGCCCTGCCAGACGCCAGGGACGGGTTGAAGCCAGTGCACCGGCGCATTCTGTGAGTGTGTTTCTAGATTAGTTGCTGCTGTTTTTTTCTGGCTCGTTTTCGCAAGCCTGTGGAGCTGAGGTTTGGGGCGAGATTAGCATAGAGGTGATAGATAGGGGGCAGTGGCAGCAGGCAAGGTGGAGGAGGTGGAGCTGCATGATGAGGCGGTGCAGTCGTACGTGTCGTATGCCATGTCCGTCATTGTCGGCCGCGCCCTGCCTGATGCTAGAGATGGGTTGAAGCCAGTGCACCGCCGGATCCTGTGAGTGTGTGGCTACAGACGCAGTGGGAGATTAGAGGGCGATGAGCGGTGCAATCGTATGTGTCGTATGCCATGACCGTTATTGTCGGCCGCGCTCTGCCTGATGCTCTCCCCGACGCCAGGGATGGGCTGAAGCCAGTGCACTGCCGCATTCTGTGAGTGCGCAGCACCAGTGCACTGCCGCATTCTGTGAGTGCGCAGCACCAGTGCACTGCCGCATTCTGTGAGTGCGCAGCACCAGTGCACTGCCGCATTCTGTGAGTGCGCAGCACCAGTGCACTGCCGCATTCTGTGAGTGCGCAGCACCAGTGCACTGCCGCATTCTGTGAGTGCGCAGCACCAGTGCACTGCCGCATTCTGTGAGTGCGCAGCACCAGTGCACTGCCGCATTCTGTGAGTGCGCAGCACCAGTGCACTGCCGCATTCTGTGAGTGCGCAGCACCAGTGCACTGCCGCATTCTGTGAGTGCGCAGCACCAGTGCACTGCCGCATTCTGTGAGTGCGCAGCACCAGTGCACTGCCGCATTCTGTGAGTGCGCAGCACCAGTGCACTGCCGCATTCTGTGAGTGCGCAGCACCAGTGCACTGCCGCATTCTGTGAGTGCGCAGCACCAGTGCACTGCCGCATTCTGTGAGTGCGCAGCACCAGTGCACTGCCGCATTCTGTGAGTGCGCAGCACCAGTGCACTGCCGCATTCTGTGAGTGCGCAGCACCAGTGCCATCTCCTCCACCTTGCCAGTGCCATCTGCCGCACCAGTGCCATCTTTCCCCACCCCAGCTACGCCACACACGGGCAAGGCCTGGCGTCAAGCAAACCCATCCAAGTATTCCCACTCCTGTCAACCGTGACCCCCCACCATCCCCCTCCCTTCCTCTCCTCTGCATCTACGCCATGCATGAGCTGGGCCTGGCATCCAAGCCCATCCGAGCCCATCCAAGCCCATCCAAGCCCATCCAAGAATCCAAGCCCATCCAAGCCCATCCAAGCATCCTCATCCCTGTCAACCTTGACCCCCACTGCCCCCCCCCCTTCCGCTTCCCCAGCTACGCCATGCATGAGCTGGGCCTGACGTCATCCAAGCCGTTCCGCAAGTCTGCTAGAGTCGTGGGAGAGGTGCGTCTGTGGCCTTCTCTGCCTGCCCACCTCCCTCCTCCTCTTCCTGCTCTTGCTGCTTCTTCCGCCGCCGCTGCTGCTGCTGCTCATGCTCCCGCTGCCGCTGCTCCTGCCCCTGCTGCCGCTGCTCCTGCCCCTGCTGCCGCTGCTCCTGCTCCTGCTGCTGCCACTGTGTCTGGTGGAGTGACTTTTCCATTCTATTCTGGTTTGCTGGTCCCCCCTCATGGCAGTCTATGACACCCTAGTGCGCATGGCACAGGGCTTCTCTCTCCGTGCCCCACTCCCTTGTGTTTCCCCACTCCCTTGTGTTTCCCCACTCCCTTGTGTTTCCCCACTCCCTTGTGTTTCCCCACTCCCTTGTGTTTCCCCACTCCCTTGTGTTTCCCCACTCCCTTGTGTTTCCCCACTCCCTTGTGTTTCCCCACTCCCTTGTGTTTCCCCACTCCCTTGTGTTTCCCCCCTCTCACATCACATCCCACAGGTGCTAGGGCGTTTCCACCCACACGGCGACACAGCAGTCTACGATGCTCTAGTGCGCATGGCGCAGGACTTCTCTTTGCGTGCCCCACTCGTGCACGGGCACGGCAACTTTGGGTCCGTGGATGCTGACCCTGCTGCTGCCATGCGCTACACCGAGTGCAGACTGCAGGTACCTGCTAGTATCCGCACATAAGCAGGTAAACCCCTATACGCTGGTAACCCTTTACCTGCTGCTGCCTGGAGCCAGTGACCAACCCCACTCCCACTCGTGCTCGGGCATGGCAACTTTGGGTCCGTGGATGCTGACCCTGCTGCTGCCATGCGATACACCGAGTGCCGCCTGCAGGTACCTCTTACCATCAATTGCCCTCCATCTGCAGTTTCCGTACCACTTGATAAACCGGGCAGGTAACTCTTTATAAGCAGGCGTCCCTTTATAACCGGGCAGGTACCACTTAGCCCTTTATCTGCTGCTGCGAACCCCATACTCGCACTCTCACTTACACTCCCACCCTCGCGCCCCTCACCCACGCTCTTCCCCTCTTATCCCCCATTTCTTGAGACATGGTCAGTTTTAAGACGCCTTAAAACACGCACTCTCTTTTTTCCTCTTCCCCTCTTCCCCGTTTCTCTTCGCCAGCCCCTCACGGAGAAAATGCTTTTGGAAGACATCCGCAGCGACACGGTCAGTTTGGGGCTCGGAATCAATCGGGCTTTAAGATCATTGCCAGTGAGGACGGATCTCGTTCGGGATTTTTGTTTTAGTGGACTTAAACCGGCAATGACATGTCAGTTGGTTGAAGGGAACCAGTCGGGCTTAAAGGTTATTGCCACTTGTGGCCATCGCCATCCCATCGTATTGCATCGCATCGCATCGCATCGCATCACACCACACCATCCCATCACATCCGAACAAATCACGTCTTGTCCCATCCCAGCACAACACATGACACTGCACCCCATCTCGTGATATTGCCGCATATTGATGCCTTCACCTCTCTCCCACCCACCTTCAGGTTGACTTTGCGCCCAACTTCGATGCATCAACCAACGAGCCAACAGTGCTTCCAGCTCGCATCCCCGTGCTTCTACTCAACGGCTCTCAAGGCATTGCGGTACGTCTTATGCTGCCTGCGGTGCTTCCTTTTCCGTCGCCTCGATGGACTACTGTACGCATTCTGGGTGAAAAACTGATCGTTTAGCGACGAGGGAACAATGCTGCAGAGTTTCTTATGGCTATTCCCTCGGACCACGCATGAGTTTGACAATCCTACAAGCACCACACTGGACAGCGTGCATGTCGTGCCATTACTGCTCTCAGCCTGCACCCAGCAGTACCACTCTGTGCCTCCCTGCACCCCCCTGCACCTCTTCAGGTGGGCATGGCCACCAACATCCCTTGGACAATCTGAGTGAGCTTGTGCATGCGCTCTCAGTCGTCATTGACAATCCTGCCATCACCACTTTTTAATTCACTTCCTTGTCCCCTGCACCCCACTACACCCACCTGTACCTTCCCATACCCGCCTGCATCCCTCCAGGTGGGCATGGCGACCAACATCACAGAAGAGCTCATGCAGACCTGTCAGGGCCCAGACTTTTTCCCTTTCCCATTCTGTACCCTCCTGCACCTCATTCTACCCCCCTGCACCCATGCAGGTGGGCATGGCCACCAACATCCCGCCTCACAATCTGAGTGAGCTCGTGGACGCGCTCTCAGCGTTCATTGACAACCCTGCCATCACCACGGAAGCTCTCATGCAGATCTGTCAGGGCCCGGACTTTCCCACCGGAGGGGTCATTCTCGGCACATCAGGGTGTGTATGTGTGTGAGAACGGTATTGCTTATGGCATAACAGTAACGTGACTGTAATTGAGGAGGGCAGGTGGGTGGAAGGTTGACAACCCTACCAGCCATCACCACGGAAGCTCTCATGCTCATCTGTCAGGGCCCGGACTTTTCCACTGGAGGGGTCATTCTCGGCACAGCAGGGTACGTTTGCAAAGGTACTGGTTATGGAGTAACGCAGGTGGGGTGGGGGTGTTTGGGGAGGGCTGGTGGGTGAAAGGCTGGCAGCCCTGCCGTCACCATCATGCGCATCTGCCATTCGTAGAGAGGGTGCTTTTGAGACGTCTCAAAAACACCCTCTCTACACCTGGTGGGTGAAAGGCTGGCAGCCCTGCCGTCACCATCATGCGCATCTGCCATTCGTAGAGAGGGTGCTTTTGAGACGTCTCAAAAACACCCTCTCTACACCTGGTGGGTGAAAGGCTGGCAGCCCTGCCGTCACCATCATGCGCATCTGCCATTCGTAGAGAGGGTGCTTTTGAGACGTCTCAAAAACACCCTCTCTACACCTGGTGGGTGAAAGGCTGGCAGCCCTGCCATCACCATCATGCTCATCTGCCATTCTTAAAAAAAAACATACGTCTGGGAAGGGATGGTTGAGAGGAGGGGAAGTGTGTGAATGGCAAGCGTCCTGCTGACAACCACCCACAAGCAACGATGGGGTAGGAGGAGTCATACCACACAGGGAGGTTATTGTTGTGCTGACAACCAACCCTGGGTATCGACTGGCATAGACTGGATACCAACTGGAGGTTGTCACTCGTGTTTCACCTCTCCTGAAGGTCATACATTCCTGCGTGTTCCTTATCCCCCTCCTTCCTGCCCCCTGAGCAGCATGGAAGAGGCGTATCGCACGGGGAGGGGATCAATAGTGGTGCGGGGGAGGGCATATGTGGAGGAGCTGGGAGGAGGTGGAGCGGGGAGCAGAGGGAATCGGATTGGCATTGTCATTACAGAGGTGTGTGCGGATGGGTGATTGCTGAGTGCTTTGTCGACTCTAAGGTGCATTGCATGGGAAGGGGTGGATAGTGGTGCGGGGGAGGGCATATGTGGAGGAGCTGGGCGGAGGGGGGGCAGGAAGCAGAGGCAACCGGCTGGGGATTGTCATCACTGAGGTGTGTGATTGTGTGGAGATGGTAAACGTTTTTATTCCGTATCAGGCTGAGAGTTAAGCCGAGTACCTGACTTGCACGTTACTTTCTTCAGAGCATTAACCTGTGACTAGTAAATCTATTCTGCCCTTACTTTACTTCAGAGCATTATCACGTTCGGACTTTGGGCTTATAATGTTTCTCCCTTCCACCACCAACCTCACTCCCTCCTCAAAACAGCTGCCATATCAGACAAATAAGGCCGGCCTAGTCGAAGAACTGGTACAGCTGGTGAACAGCAAGGTGGTGGAGGGCGTGAGTGACATCCCCGATGAGAGCGACGAGCAGGAGGGCTTAGCCTTCTTCCTGACACCCTCTCCTCCCCCGACTTTTGAGACATCTCAAAACTTAGACTTTTGAGACGTCTCAAAACTTAGACTTTTGAGACGTCTCAAAACTTAGACTTTTGAGACGTCCCAAAACTTAGACTTTTGAGACGTCTCAAAACTTAGACTTTTGAGACGTCTCAAAACTTAGACTTTTGAGACGTCTCAAAACTTTGCCTTTTTCCTGACACCCTCTCCTCCCCCGACCCCACCCCCACCCCTCATTCAATCAGCTCCCGTATCAAACAAACAAGGCCGCGCTAGTCGAGAAGATGGCAGAGCTGGTCAATAGCAAGGTGGTGGAGGGGGTGAGTGACATCCGGGACGAGAGCGACCGGGGGGGCATGCGCGTGGTGGTGGAGGTGAAGCGCGGCGCCACCCCCATGGCCGTGCTGGCGTCGCTGTACAAGCACACGCAGCTGCAGTCGCGTTTCAACTGCAACCTGGTGGGGTGAGTGAGTTGTCCGTCTTGTGGGTGTGTCAGGCCCTCACTTCTCGTCAGCATGTTACGGGGTACTGCCTGGCAGCGATCACAATCACTAAGGTGGTCCTGGGTGGGAGTGGCGGGGTGGGGAGGGGAGGAGAGGGAGCGACCGGGGGGGCATGCGCGTGGTGGTGGAGGTGAAGCGCGGCGCCACGCCCATGGCCGTGCTGGCGTCGCTGTACAAACACACTCAGTTGCAGACCCGCTTCAATTGCAACCTGGTGGGGTGAGAGAGTGACTGGTTCTCACTGAAATGAGTAGTAGACCTGTTTCAGCCCCATCATCTCTTCCCCTTCTGAGGTCGTTTTTGAGGCGCCTCGAGGTCGTTTTTGAGGCGCCTCAAAAGTGACAGGTTCTCACGGAGTAATGGACCTGTTTCAGCCCCATCATCTCTTCCCCTTCTTCTCCCCCCCCCCCCCCCCCCCCCTGTTCCCCCCTTCCCCGTCGTCCCCTCCCATTTCCCCTCAGGTGGTCAATGGAAAGCGCATGTACTTTTGAGGCGCCTCAAGAACCGAGAGAAGCAATTTCATCCCTTGCCCTCCTCCGCTGCCCCCCTGCCTCCCCGCCCCCCCCCCATCCCCCCCATCCTGCCTGTCCTACTCTTCCCCTCAGCCTGGTCAATGGCGAGCCCAAGGAGATGACTCTCAGAGACTTTTTTCAAGTGAGAAAATCCACCTTTTGACAACTTATGTCAATATTGTTGCATCAAGGGAGCCTAGAATCTGTTAACTCTCTCCCCTGTACACAGTCTCTCCCCTGTACACGGTCTCTCCCCTGTACACGGTCTCTCCCCCTCCCTTTGCCTGCCTACATTTTTTCCCCTTTCCCTACACTCCCCAAACCTTTACCTCCCTGGCTCCACCCCATGTTTAATCAGGTCTTTCTGGACTGCCCCTGCATTTTGAGTCTTTTTTTTTTGTTTTTTTTTTTTTTTTTTTCCCAATTCCTTACCCCCTGAACCCCACCCCAAACGCATTCAGGTCTTTCTGGACTTCCGCTGCCAGGTCATCGAACGCCGAACCAGGTTCCAGCTTCGGAAGGCCGAGGATCGGGAGCATTACGTGCAGGTACGTGCGGTTTGGCATCCAGCCCTGCGCTGCTACATGCATCCAGTCCGATGCCGAACAGAGGGAGAGGTTCTCTCCATGGCTTTCCAATCTTCCGTTCCCTCACACCTTCTCTGTCCCACTTTCCTCCACACCACCTTCCCTGTCCCACTTTCCTCCACACCACCTTCTCTGTCCCACTTTCCTCCACACCACCTTCTCTCTCCTCTGTCCTCACATCACCGTCTTATCCCCAACATCACCTCCCCTCTCCTCCTCTCTCCACACACACACACACCACACCATTGCCTTTTGATAGGTCTTGGAAGCATGGGTCAAATGGTGGGCGTTTTCAAGGTTGCTGCCACTCCTTGCCTTGACCTCCCATCCGGGCAGTTCTAGGCACCTCAGAATCTATCCTCCCCTTCCTTCCTGCCGCCCACCCAGGGTCTGCTGATTGGTCTGGGAAGCCTGGATCGAATGGTGGAGATCCTCAGGGCTGCCGCCACTCCCGCTGATGCGGCTGCCACCCTCCAGCAAGGTGCGCGCCTGCTTGAAAGCCACCCCCCCTCCCCGCCCCTGCTGGCCTGTTTCTGTGTGCATCTGTAAAGCTGCTGCCACTCCCGCTGATGCGGCTGCCACCCTCCAGCAAGGTGCGGCTGCCACCCTCCAGCAAGGTAAGCTTGCTCGAAACCATGTGCCCCCATTTCCCCCCTTCGTAAAGGAAGGAAGCAGCTCCATGTAGTATTTTTCTGGCTGGAACGCAGTCAGCATCTTGGGCTGGCAAGTAAGCATGCCTGGCTGGAACGCAGTCAGCGTCTTGGGCTGGCAAGTAAGCATGCCTGGCTGGAACGCAGTCAGCATCTTGGGCTGGCAAGTAAGCATGCCTGGCTCAACGCAGTCAGCATCTTGGGCTGGCAAGTAAGCATGCCTGGCTGGAACGCAGTCAGCATCTTGGGCTGGTAAGTAAGCATGCCTGGCGATGCAGCAGTGCGGGCTCAGGCGATTTGAGCTAGTGCTGCATTCGGCAAGCACCCTATAAAGTGCATTCCCTTTCCTAGTGCTGGAAAGCAGGCATGCTGCAGTGTGACCCAAGCGGATGGTGAGTAATTGTTATTTTTCTCTTTACTGTGGTATCCCTCTATCCACCCTGCATGTGCTTATGTGATGCATTCAAGGGATGTGTGTTGGCGTGTGTGTGATGTGTGTGTGTGTGTGTGTGTGTGTGTGTGTGTGTGTGTGTGTGTGTGTGTGTGTGTGAACGCGTATGTGTGCGTGAGCGCATCCCAGCCCTCGGCTTATCCCCCATACAGGCTGATGCACTTCTCAGTACACCACTCCGGCGGCTCACTTCCCTTGAAGTAAGTCATTCCAGCACACACCGTTTCCTAACAGTGTAGCAGTCACATGCATGCATCCATGTAAAATAGTGTAGCAGTCACATGCATGCATCCATGTAAAATAGTGTAGGAGTCACATGCATGCATCCATGTACAACAGTGTAGCAGTCACATGCATGCATCCATGTACAACAGTGTAGCAGTCACATGCATGCATCCATGTACAACAGTGTCCATACTTGTCTACACTTCCTCATTCCATTTCCTCCTCTATCCCTTTCATCCTCCATCCCTTTCACCCCCTCCTCTCTCTTCCACCCCTTCTTCCCTTCCCATCCCTGCCTTTCCCAATGTTTTTCCGCAGGTCTCCAAGCTAGAGGAGGAGCATGCGCGTCTGAAAGCGGGCATAGCAGACCTTTCAAGGTCTGCTGGCGAGCAGAAAAAAGATCCTGCAGACCGTGAAGCGAGAGGCCCAGGCGCTAAAGGACGAGTTTGGGGGGCCGAGGAGGACGAGGATAGAGGCTAATCCCTTGTTGTCCCCCTTTCCCCTTCAATTCTACTCCTCCCTTCCCCAGGTGTCTAAACTGGAGGAGGAGCACGCGCGTCTGAAGGCAGACATAGCAGACCTGCAAGGGCTGCTGGCGAGCAGAAAGAGGATTCTGCAAACTGTGAAGCGAGAGGCCCAGGCGCTCAAGGACGAGTTTGGGGGGCCGAGGAGGACGAGGATAGAGGCGGATGGGAGTGCAGGGGACTTGGATCCTTCTGACGTCATCCCCAATGACACCGTGCTGCTGGTATGTTTGTTTGCTGCTGCTATGAGGTCGTTTTTGAGGTCGTTTTTGAGGCGCCTCAAAAACGTCCCCAATGACACCGTGCTGCTGGTATGTTTGTTTGCTGCTGCTATGCTGGTGTGCGTGTGTGTGTCCCGGAGTGGAGTCCTCTCTTCCTGCTGGCAAGCCAGAAAGTCAGAGAGGCCATCATACCCCTTTCCAAACTCCCAAACCCACTTTCCTCCTCCTCTCAAAACTTGAGTGAGCGGGGATATGTGAAGTGCATGGCAGAATAATACCCGACTTTTGAGACGTCTCAAAAGTCGTCTACTTACACGCGGTTTTTATATTGCAGCTCGCCCAGTCCGCATGGCTGACGGATATGTGAAGTGCACGGCAGACTAATACCTGTTCCTCTTTGTTCCTCCTTTCCTGCTCAGCCATCTGCCGCATAACCCATTCAGAAGCTGAGTGAGTGGGGTTACATGAAGTGCATGGCAGCAGACACGTTCTCAGCACAGTAGAGGGGCACAGCGGGCAAGTCATTCAGAGAGCCACATACGCTCTCTGTATTTTCCCCCACCACCCAACCCCCTCACCCCCTCAGAACTTAAGTGAGAGGGGGTACGTGAAGCGCATGGCAGCCGACACGTTCTCGGCTCAGAAGAGGGGCACAGCGGGCAAGTCAGGAGGCAAGCTCAAGGCGGATGATGCCATGGCACGATTCGTGGTGTGCCGCACACATGACACCGTGCTCTTCTTCAGGTGGGTCCTGTCTATCCGTCTCTCTGTGCGTGTGGTTCTTGGTCTTGGGTGTCGCTCTGTCCGTCTGTTTGTTTGTCCATCTCTCTCTGGCTATGGGTCATTCTGTGCTGCTGTGGGGCAAGTCGGGAAGGCAAGCTCAAGGCAGATGATGCCATGGCGCGCTTTGTGGTGTGCCCGCACACATGACACCGTGCTGTTTTTCAGGTGAGCGCTGGGTGATGGGTGGACGGGTGGTCTGTCCGTGAGTATGTCTCTGTGTTCATGAGGCAAGTCGGGTGGCAAGCTCTCAAGGGGGATGATGCCATGGCACGATTTGCCACACACATTACACTCTGCTCTTCTTCAGGTGGGCATTGCCTTGTGTCCTTTCGTCTTGAACATGCCATGGCACGACTTGTGAACATCTTAATTTCTTGAAACTATGCGACCGCTGTGCCTTTTGTTTCTCTACTGTCCCTGCCTGCACTGCAGTGACCGAGGAGTGGCCTACACCATGAAGGGCTGTCAGATTGCCGAGGGCTCCCGCACGGCCATCGGTTATGTTGATCGAAATCACTTTTGAGAATTCTCAAAAGTGAATTCGGTGCCATCTGTTTCTCTTCTGTCCCTCCTGCTGCTTCCTGTGCCTGCACTGCAGTGACCGAGGAGTGGCCTACACCATGAAGGGCTATCAGATCCCCGAGGGCTCTCGCACGGCCATCGGCTCTCCCATCTCCCAGGCACGTCCCTCTCCACTACTAATCTGCGTGCCATGTCTTGAGTTGACTACTATAGTGCACTATACTAGCGTAGCGCCCTACTAGTCCCGTTATAGCCTTCCAGTCATGCATCTTGCTCCTCGCTCTCCACTCCACCCCCCCATCAGATCGTGCATCTGCAGGACTCGGAGCGCATCACGTCAATGCTGCCAGTGGGGGAGTTGCCGGGTCAAGCCCGTTCTGGAAGGGACTGCAGCACTGCCTCCTCCCTTCAATCCCTCCACTCCCTCCGTTTCCCACTCCTCCCCTCATCAGATCGTGCCTCTGCAGGACTCAGAGCGCATCACCTCGATGCTGCCAGTGGGTGATTTCTCAGAAGACGCCTATCTCGTCATGATGACGCGAGGGGGCTTCATCAAGCGCACTGCGCTGCATGCATTCAGTGACACTCGCAAGAGCGGTCTGATCGCCATTCAGCTGGTATGTTCTGTGCGTATGCATGCAGCATATGTGTGTCTGTCTTTTTGTCTATCTATCTATCTGTCTGTCTGTCTGTCTGTCTGTCTGTCCATGGCTATCATGACGCGAGGGGGCTTCATCAAGCACGCTGCCCTGCATGCCTTCAGCGACACACGGAAGAGTGGGCTGATCGTTGTATTCAGCTGGTGGGTGGTATGAGTGTATGCATGCAGCACACGTGTGACTGTCTTTCTTTCCATCTGTCCACACTTATCATGACGCGAGGGGGATTCAACAAGCGCACTGCACTGCATGCCTTCATTGACACTCGCAAGAGCGGGCTCATCGCCATTCAGCTCGTGCGTTTGTCTCTCTATGCTGGCTTAGTGCCGTACAGCTGGTATCCTGTCTGTGTGCATGCATCTGCGTGTGTCCGTCATGACGCGAGGGGGCTTCATCACGCGTACCACTCTGCATGCGCTCAGCGACACACGCAAGAGCAGTCTCATCGCCATTCAGCTGGTATGTCGATCCGTCTATGCTGGCTCATCTCCATACAGCTGGTGGGTTGTGTGTGTGTATGCAATGCATTTTTGAGGCGCCTCAAAAGTCGTCTCATGTTTTGAGGCGCCTCAAAAGTCGTCTCATGTTTTGAGGCGCCTCAAAAGTCGTCTCATGTTTTGAGGCGCCTCAAAAGTCGTCTCATGTTTTGAGGCGCCTCAAAAGCCATACAGCTGGTGGGTTGTGTGTGTGAATGCAATGCACCTGTATGTGCCAGTCGAGTCGAGGCAGGTCAACGTGAATCAAGGTGAGAATTTGTGATAGCATCACATGCACTGGCCTAACAGGGAATTCGTCTAGGCCAGATGAGGTCAGACAAGGTCAGAGAAGCCTCTCTGCACTGCCCGTCTCTGGCAAGAGGAGGACCTCACTGCGCTCCATCCCCTTCCCTCTCCTACAAAGCCCTTTTCACCGCATCTGACTCCTCTCCGCCCTTCCCCATCCACGTGGCAACCATCTCTCCTAACGTGCGGCAGGGCGACGGCGATGAGCTGGCGTGGGTGCGGAGGGCAACAGCTGGCGACTCCCTATTGGTCGGCTCGCAGTTTGGCAACATCGTTCGCTTCGCGTGTGACGACGACCAGCTGAGGCAGAGTGGGCGCACGGCGAGGGGAGTGAGGGCCATGCGACTCAGGGAGGGCGACATCGTCGCTGCCTTGGAGATCGTGCCAGCTGTCGCCTCGTGAGTGGCTGCTGCTTCGCCTCGTGAGTGCCAGCTGTCGCCTCGTGAGTGCCAGCTGTCGCCTCGTGAGTGGCTGCCTTTGCTGGCCGTGTCTTTGGTTGCTCACGGCCTCAGCTCTGCGGCACCTGTTGAGGCGCCTCAAAGTTGTTGAGGCGCCTCAAAGTTGTTGGGGCGCCTCATGTGTTGCCTTCGGCTGCTCACGCCCAACTATTCTCCGCTTCTGCAAGTTCCTCGTTTCAAATTGAGTTTGCTTGCCACTTCCTTGCTTGCCACTTCCTTGCTTGCCACTTCCTTGCTTGCCAATTCCTTGCTTGCCACTTCCTTGCTTGCCACTTCCTTGCTTGCCACTTCCTTGCTTGCCACTTCCTTCCTTCCTTCCTTCCTTCCTTCCTTCCTTCCTTCCTTCCTTCCTTCCTTCCTTCCTTCCTTCCGCTCCCAGCCTCGCTTACCTCACAGCGAGTCCAAGGAAGGGGGCTGGGTGGTTATGGCCACTCGCAACAGGCTGGGTTAGAGAGCTGTGCATATGCAAAGCTCTTTCTTCCCTCCCTCTCTCCCCTCCCCTCCCCTCCCGCACGACCTTTTTTCACCGCACAGTGAGTCCAAGGACGGGGGCCCGTGGGTAGTGATGGCCACTCGCAACGGGCTGGGCTGTGCAGGTGCCTCATAGCACCCAATACGTTACCCGTCCTCCTTCTTTCCCTTCCCTCCTTTCCCCTCCGCACAGTGAGTCCAAGGATGGGGGCCCGTGGGTGGTGATGGCCACTCGCAACGGGATGGGAAAACGTGTTCCCACGAACCTGTTTGCCAACCAGCGGAGGGGAGGCGTGGGCGTGAAAGGCATCAAGGTGAGTGAGTGAGCGAGCTTGGGAGTGAATAGAGTGCAGGGCTAGGATGATTCATGCTGGCTTTGTTGTAGTGCCGGGGATGGGAAAACGTGTTCCCACGAACCTGTTTGCCAACCAGCGGAGGGGAGGCGTGGGAGTGAAAGGCATTAAGGTGAGCGTGTGGGATGAATTAGTATGTCAATCAAAGGAGTGGGGCCATGTGGCATGTGATTCTAGTGCTGCTTATTTTTTAGAATTCTCAAAAAGGAGTGGGGCCATGTGACGTGCTTCTAGTGCTGCTTGTGGACGTATTGTGTGCGGGAGGGTGTGATTTGAGTCGACTCAAAACTGGACGTATTGTGTGCGGGAGGGGGTGATTCGAGTCGACTCAAAACTGGACGTATTGTGTGCGGGAGGGGGTGATTTGAGCGTATGGGGGCCGACGTTGCTGTATCGGGAGCGAGACAACACCCCAATTACATGGTCCACCCCACACCCCCACTCCATCCCTCTCACTGTGTGCATCACGTGCAGTTGGCCCAAGTTGATGCACTGGTGGCCCTTCGCGCGTCTTACCCTGTGTGTGTAACATACCAGTAATGCCCCATCCATACCCATCCATACCCCTCTTTTCCCTCCCTCCCTCGCTCCCTCCCTCCTGCCCCCCTGGCCCCCCTGCCCCTGCTGTCCCCCCTCCCTGCCCGCCGCGGCCCCCCTTGCTGTGTTTATCAACTGCAGCTGGCGAGGGGGATGCACTGGTGGTGCTGCATCTGGTGGGCCCCTGTCAGGGCGCCTCACAGAAAACCGTACCCCAATACCTCCCCATTCCCCCAAACCATCTCTCTCACGTGCAGTTGGGCGAGGGGGATGCACTGGTGGCGCTGCGTCTGGTGGGGGAGGGCACTGCTGACAGAGACGGTGAGTGGGGAGAGTGGGAGGACGGGGTGAGGAGGGGTGGGAGAGGACAGTAGAAGGCATGAAGGCATGAAAGATCACGTTCAGGTAAAGAGGAAGGGTTAATTCTGGTGGCGTCGTCTGGTGGGGGAGAGCAATGCTAACAGAGGCGGTGAGAGGGGGGAGTGGGTGGAGGAGGGGGGGGGGAGGCAGAGGATAGGACAGGCACAGTAGGTGTTTGTTAATGGCAGCTTGTAACGAGTAAGGAGAGGAGAGCTGCTAGTGGGCAACGACGGAGGTATCATCAACCGGCTGCGAGTGCGAGACATCCCCATCCTCTCCATCCCCATCCTCTCCCTCCCCATCTCCTCATCCCCATCCTCCCATTCCCCATCCTCCCATTCCCCATCCTGTTCCCCCCGGTCCCACCAGCCACTGACACTGCAAACGGAGAGCTGTTAGTGGGCAGTGACGGGGGAATAATCAAACGGCTATGAGTGTGAGACATCCCCATCCTCTCCCTCCCCATACTCCCATCCCCATCCCCCATCCCCTGTCCCCCGTCCCCCATCCCCCATGTCCTCATCCCCCAGGCGCTGACACTGCAAATGGGGAACTACTGGTGGGCAGCGACGGGGCAATTATCAACCGTCTGCGAGTGCGAGACATCCCCATCCTCTCCCTCCCCATCCTCTCCTTCCCATCCCCCATCCCCTGTCCCCCGTCCTCCATCCCCCATGACCTCATCCCCCAGGCACTGACACTGCAAATGGGGAACTACTAGTTGGCAGCGACGGGGGTATTATCAACCGGCTGCGAGTGCGAGACATCCCCATCCTCTCCCTCCCCATCCTCTCCTTCCCATCCCCCATCCCCTGTCCCCCGTCCCCCATCCCCCATGACCTCATCCCCCAGGCACTGACACTGCAAATGGGGAACTACTAGTTGGCAGCGACGGGGGTATTATCAACCGGCTGCGAGTGCGAGACATCCCCATCCTCTCCCGCACCACCCGGGGGTGTCGCCTCATGCGCATCGCCCCTGGGGATAGCCTGGCGTCGCTGTCGCTCGTGCCGGGTGCTGCTGAGGGGGAGGAGGATGACGATGGGGATGGGATGCCGTTAGTGGTGCCGGAAGGAGGGGTGAGTGATGAGGAGGGAGGAGAGAGTGAGGAGGAAAAGGTGGAGGGAGGGAGCAGAGTAAAGGCGAAAGCAGAGCAATAGTTGGGACGTAGGGTGGAGGGGAGGGTGGAGGGGAGGGTGGAGGGGAGGGTGGAGGGGAGGGTGGAGGGGAGGGTGGAGGGGAGGGTGGAGGGGAGGGAGGGTGATTGGATGGATGAATGGGTGGAGCGCAAAAGCTCTTGACTGGGGGTTCACTTCACGACGATTCTCTTTCCTTCGCATCACACCAGGATAGGTAGGGGCTTCAGTTGGTCACTTGAGGTACCGTATGTCATATATCAATGGGAACGGGGTATGGTGATGAAACATCCACCGACTTCGCATACCGTACTTCTGCAACGCTTGACGTCCACGCGCAATACTTGCTTGCACCCATCTACGTCACTTGGTGTAATGTGAAATCCACTCACTCACACTTTCCATGTCTGTATCGCCAATGCCACTACAATACACTGAGGGCGTGTTCCTACAGCCTCGTCAGGCAACCTAGAATCAGATTCATGTCGAATTGCACAGTCGAATACACTGAAACGCATTTCACCACACGAAGCTGATACGTGGTGTGTCTGATACGAGGTGCAGGAACGCGCTCTAAGACGGCACTTACCGCTCTGGACACTGTCCCAATCGCAGTGTCCCAATCGAGTGTACCGCTCCGAACCGAACTAAACCAGAGACCGTAAAATTTCGAGAATGTGTGAAACTAGGGTGGAATTCGGTTTAATAAGATGCAGTGCGGTGGAATCAATTCAGACACTTTCGATTGGGACAGTGTCCAGAGCGGAATGTACCCTAACCACACTGGAAATTTCATGCAGCTATTCCTTCACTACAACCTAAGTGGGGCATACACAGCAACGTGGGAAAACAAATGCTCTCAAATATAGTCTCAGGCGCAGCGCAGCAGGAAGCAGGGATGAGAAGAGAGGAAAGCAGTTATCAGGTGCTGTCCTCTCAAGTAGAGATGGTCCCACGCAGTCAGAATGTGAGTCGCTTTGAGAAAGTTCAAAAGCACAAGGCCCTCCTACTCAGGGCGTGTTCCTACAGCCCCTTATCAGGCGAACCTCCTGTCCTGTCAGATTCGCGTCGCGACGCACTGAAACACATGTAATAACATTCGATCGCACTGAAACGCATTGAACCGCACAAGTCTGACAAGAGGTCGGCTAATAAGGGGCCGTAGGAACACGCCCTCACTCACTCCTATCCTAATCCTGCAAGCAAAGAGCATAGAGAAAGCCAACGGTTGGGACAGAGATGTGGACAACAGAGGGGATCAGTGAAAGCGCATGGGCAGAGCTCGGGCAGCAGTGGAGGGAAGGGAGGGAGGGGGTGTGGGTGGTTGTGGCACGTGCACTGGATGCAAGTGCAGTCCATGAAGGCAGAACCAAAGCTAAAGGCAGGGGCAGAGTTGGCAGGGTCAGCAGTGACAGCAGGCGCAGCATGGATTGCAGGAATGGCAGGGTACGGCAGGAGCGGCAGGTACAGCTCTGAGAACAGAGAGGGGGGAGGGGGGAGAGGGGGGAGGGAAGTGCAGCATGTGGCCGTCTAGAATGCACAACAGTAGGTGTAGGCAGAGCCGATACAAGTGGCCACTCACCCTGCTTACCAGCCCTGAATACCAGCCCTGTATACCAGCCCTGAATACCAGCCCAGCTTACGTGGAGCACTATCCAGGCGTTTCAAAAACCTCCATACCTGCGGCAGTTGATCGGACGACCCTGATGAGCCAGCAGCGGCGGCAGCAGCAGATGGGACCGGGGCAGGGGCAGGTGCGACGGGGGGCGGCGCAAAAACGGCAGGCGCAGCGGGAGCAGGGGCAGCGGAGGCGGATTTAGCAGTAAGCGGGGCGGAGAATCGCGGCACGTGGCCGTCGAGAATGCGCGAGCAGTCCGTGTAGGCGGAACCGACGCCGCAGCCGGCGCCGAAGGCGAGAGCGGCCCAGCGACTCGTAGGGGATCCTGCACGGCAGAAGGAGAGGGAAGGGTGGAGGGAGGGGAAGGAAAGCGAGGATGGGGGGAAGAAGGGACTTGGGCATCAAATGCGCGAGCAGTCTGTGTAGGCGGAACCGTCTCCGCACCCGGCGCCGAAGGCGAGAGCCACCCAGCGACTCGTAGGGGACCCTGAGGGATGGCGAGAGGGGGAAGGAAAGAAAGGAGCGGAGGGGGGAAAGGTCTGGAGCACGTGTAGGAAGGCGCGAAAGCAGTCGGTGTAGGCGGAAGCGACCCTGCAGCCTGCGCCGACGGCGAGGGCGGCCCATCGACTCGTGAGGCTCCCTGATTGGTGAAGGGAACGGCGGGAACAGCTAGAGCGTGGGACATGCGTGTGGGGGGGACGGAGGAACAGCTAGAGCGGCCAAGCGTCTCGTGGGGCTCGCTCAAAACAAGTCAGATCACTCACGGATCACTTACTAGAAATAGTTCACTCACTAAAGAGGACGAGCCCGGTGGCGGCGCCCGCGAGCGTGCTGTAGACGACTCGGCGCAGCGAGAGGTCGACGCAGAGGTCCCATTTGTCGTCCATCAGCAAATCCTGCGCGCGCCGACTCGGAGCAGCCATGGCTGCCGATTCCGAATCCTTCTCGTCCTTTGTTTCTTTCTTCCTTTTTAGTAACTTCGGTTCGCTTTCACTTCCTTCGCTCTCCTCGTTCTCCGTTCGAAGGTTCCTCCACGGTGGTAACCTTCACGAAACTCCTGGCTGTTCGCGGCCGCTACACGGCGCCCCAAAAACCGGCACGCGCAGGCTTGTAGTACGTAACTGGCGGTGGAGATTCGCTGGTACTACTGATTCGAGCGCAAAAAAAATGAGATTCGTGCGCAAATTAGGCTGTAATCTCTCGCGGAAACCAGCAGCAGCTTCAAGCAGTCTCTTGCGCGACGAAGATCGGGGCGCGACGGGGATGCCGCTGGTTAGAACGGCTCAGGAATTGGACTGGCCTAAGCGACTGGCGGAATGTGGTGTCGGAAACTAGGGCTGGGAGAAAAACGTTTGGGGGAGGGGGGAGGGAGAAGAGGGGGGGGGGAGAAAGGGGAGGGTGGGGAAGGATGGTGGGGGAAATGGGGGTGTTTGAGCGGTGGGGGGAGCGGTTGGGGAAACGGTTGGGGCAGCTGTGCGGGGACGAGGTGGGGGGAAATGAAAGTGTACCTTGGAGATTCCTTTCCGCGTTTTCAGAATTTTAGTGAAGGATCTTATGAAGGGGATGAATTTGCACGGTGTTCATTTACGCTCAACCGTAATCGAAACCAATGTAACCGCGTAGAATTGCGAACCACCTCACTGAACCTAAACGAATGGAGATCATCAGAGCAATGTAGGTACAGCTAGATGTACGTAAATCCATTGAAGCGCCTTTTCCGCGCTGCGCTGGTCGTGGGTATTAGCCTTCCCCATCGATCACGACTTACCAGCTCATAGGATCCTCCATCCTTCCAACGATCAATTTCGGTAACATGCGGCGACTTTGTCAGCACCAAAATGGGAACCCTGATTTTCCTCGCGCATTCGCGTCCCGGCCACCTCGCGACCAGGTCGCATGTTCCGCACTAGCGTGTCGTCGGGACCGTGGCATCAGCGTCGCACGTCAGCCCTGCTTCAGCACTCCCTTCAGGCGACGAGGGGCCATTCAGATTCACCTTCCCCGCGCGCCACTTCGCCAGCTCTGTTCCTTCTCCCCGCGTTTCCCGCTCGTAACCTCCCAACACCATCCCGCTTCTGACCCACCGCCAATTGCGGCGGCATCAACGGCAGGAGCACTTCGCACCGCCCTGCGCCTCGGCCTGCTTCTTCTGGGCGGCACAGCAGCATTGGCGGTGGGCGGCACCACTGTCGCATCTGCCGTCTTTGTCGCGCTGGCGTGCCATCGCGGGATGGATGGACGGCCAGGATCCGCTCCTCGCGACTGGGGGGCGCTGTTCGAAGGGGGAGGGGGCGGGGGAGGGGGAAGTCGGGGGGAGGGAGGCGGAGGGGGAGTCGGAGGGGGAGGCGGAGGGGGAGGGGGAGGTAAACGGGGGAGCGGAGGGATTGGGGGGGATAAACAAGAGAAAGATGTTCTTTCAAGTTTTGAGATGTCTCAAGAAGAGGTTGAAGATGCTGGTGGTCGTGGTGATGTTGGGAATGGCGAGAATCAGCCAGGGAAAGCCAAACAGGGCGAAGTTGCAGCACCAGTGTACATCGTAATCCCCGCTCTGAACGAGGCATCAGCGCTGCCAAACACGCTGCGCCACCTGGCAAAGCTCTCCCCGCGGCCAGCCGGCATCATCGTGGCCGACGGCGGCAGCACAGATGGCACACCGCAATTGGCTGAATGTCTGGGCGCGGTGGTGGTGTGCAGTGAGAGATGCAGGTCGGTTCAGATGAACTCAGGCGCATGGAAGGCAGTGCAGCTGATGCAGCAGGTGCAGGAGCAAGGCAGTGGAAATATTATGAGTGGGAGCAGTGCGTGTGGAAGCAGCATAAGCAGCGGCATTCTCTGTTTCGTTCACGCAGACACGCTCGTACCATTGGATCTCGTCACACTGGTCAGGAGGGCACTGAAAGATCAGACAGTGTGCTGTGGGGGGTTCGTGCCCGTGGTGGCTGTGCCTGGGCGAGTCTTCTGGGGCATGTGTCTTCGGAACGTGGCCAAGACTTGGTATGTGCCGCTGCTTGCCCCCCCACGGTATGCTCAACTGCTTAGTGCTGATAAGATGTCGGTTGCAGCATCTGGCCACAAGAACTCAAGCAGCAGCAGCAGTACCACCACCAGCACCAGCAGTGGCCATAGCGGCAGCAGCAATAGCAGCAGTGGCATCAGCAGCAGCAGTGGGGGTGACAGAAGTGGTGGTGGTGGCAGCAGCAGTGGTATTGAAACCATTACCAGTGAGGTTAGTGGTACAAGTTTCGCGTGGTTCAATGGTGTAGCGGCGTTCGTTCGGGGTATGCGCATGCTATATGGAGACCAGGCCATGTTCTGCCGGGCACAAGACTTTGTGCGCATTGGAGGGTTTGATGAGAGGCTGGCCATCTTGGAAGATGCTGACCTCTCAGAAAGGATTCATGTGGATGGCTGGCGACAAAATATGCCAGTTCGCAGAGGTTCGCTTCGTGGCACTGGAGGGTCTGATGGTCATGGCAAGCTGAGATTCAAGCGTGGCGGTAGGATGGTTATGGTTCCACGAGTGGTGGTTACAAGCGGGAGGAGGTTTGAGCATTTGGGTGCGATTCAAGCCACCTTAGCTAACATTATTCTAGCAAGCGCATACATATTTAGGGCTCCGCCTGATGTGCTTTACAAGCTGTATAAAAGATTGTATTGTGATGTGAGGTAGGTGGCTGTATCTCTGCTTCCGAAACATGTAACACTTATTCAGTTTATCGTAAAATGTCAGTTGAATCTATGAGGGCTGGATATTCCAGATTTAGGTTCAAATGCCGACCAATCATGTCACGCCGCTCAGGCCACACCTCAACAAGCTCTCCGTCCAGGCAGGACTGGACGCCAAGTCACCACACGCGTCTAATCACTGATTGGATAAAAGCGAGGAAGAAGGGCGGCTGAGAATACCCTGGGAATATCTTCCCGCCAAGCTGACAAAGCGCAAATGGCGCGACGAGGAGGCGAAAATCTCTTGAACCAAATCCCAGGGGAAACTCACAGCTCGCTTGTGAGTGTACAATGTACATATTGGACTTCATCCTTATGATTCTCTGTTTGATTCTGGTTCTCAAGTCGCGCTCTTAGTCTCTGATAGATCGGCGCTGCGCGTTTTTGAGGCGGCTCAAAAGTCGTTCCCCTTTGCGATTGGCGCTCTGGCTACTTCGACTGTCGTTGCGGAAGCGTCGTTGCTTTCGACGTCTGAGGACTCGACGTCTGCGGCGTCGATGGTGCCGCAAGGTGCTGCGAAAATGAGCTCTTTCGAGGTCGAGGATAGCCCCTACAACAACGACAAGCGGCGGCGGTCCAACAGCCTCTTCGTGGTTAGTCCGTGCTTCACTTTGAGTTTTAAGTTTTGAGACGTGTCGAATCCCCATGTTTTGGCAAGGTGCTCAAATGTTGCCGCAAGATGCCGCGAAGGTGAACTCTTTCCAGGTCGAGGATAATCCCTACAACAACGCCAAGCGACGGCGGTCCAACAGCCTCTTCGTGGTTAGTCCGTGCTTCTCTTGACCCCTGCTCCTTATGCTCCCGTCGCGCTGCTTCGTGCTTTTCGTTGTCCAGATTCCGGCTCCTGCTGGAGGCTCGTCGTAGCCAAGACTCAATTAAAAAAAAAGAAAACAGAAAAAAAAGGAACGAAATCCAGTCACTGTGGAAAAACGATGTCGGAATGAACGAGGCGCGCCGATCCACTCGTATCGAAACTGAGTCAACCGTTCGAATCTTCGCGACATTTCTCCCTCCTTTCCCGTCCCACTGACATCCGAATTAAAACCTTTGCCCTCGTTCCTACCTCCAAGTTTTCAACTGCCCCAAACGTCGGCTGCGAACAGCCGCGCGCAGTCGCACCTCTCCGTGTAGCTTTTGAGGTGCCTAAAAAGTCGCCTGCGAATACTTGCGCGTAGTCGCACCCCTCCGTATAGCGTGTGCCTCGTGTTTGTCTCAAACTGCCCGGGCCCCACCCAACACCTAACCCCTCTCTTTGTTCTCCGCGTCTCTTTACCCTTCTCCTAGGCTGGAACATGCAGCAACCGCTGTCCCTCCGTGTAGCGAGTGCGGCACAAGCGCTCCCTTCCCCCACCTCTCCGCCTTCAACCCTTTTCCCCTTATCCCCGGGTCTCGCACAGCCGTCCATCCTGCTCCTTCTCCTGGTCTTTCGCGCCACTGCAGCGAGCGGGTGTTTACCTGCAGCAGTCGCCAGCCCTCCGCATCTCGTTGTCCCAAATTCTTCCCCACTCTCCCGCCCCCTGGCCCTCCCACACCCTTCCCTCCCGCAGCGAGCGGGTGTGTACCTGCAGCAGTCGCCGGCGCTTCAGTTCGCCGCCTTCCTCTGCACGCTCGTTTTCCTCTGGGGCATCACCTTCGCACTCTCCCCCAACCGCCTGCCGTAGCTGCTATGCATGTTCTACCCATACGCCTGAGGACTTCGTAGGTGCCTCAAAAGCATTCAGTTCGCAGCCTTCCTCAGCACGCTCGTTTTCCTCTGGGGTATCACCTTCGCACTCTCCCCCAACCGCCTGCCGTAGCTGCCGTTCCTGCCGAACCTCCTGCAGCTGCCGTAACTGTTGCACCTGCCATACCTGTTGCAGCTGCCATACCTGCCATAGCTGCCGTGGCTGTCGTACCTGCCATAGCTGTCGTACCTGCCGTAGCTGCTGTACCTGCTGTAGCTGCCCCGGAGCTGCCATACCTGCTTGCCGCACCTGCTACAGCTGCTTCGCATGCTGCGCAGAGATGACTGGGACCTACTGGGACATAATCTTCCTCTCTCTCTCACTCAGCCGCTCTTTGCCGTAACTGCAGTAGCTGCCTCAGCTACTCGGAACAGGTGGCTGGGGTTTGATTAGAAGGTTGGGATTGGTGTTAGCAGGTTGTTTTTTAGTGACTTTTTGTGAAGGCAAAGATGTGTGGGTAGAGGTTATAAAATTCAAAGGCTCTGCTGGGAGGTACGGGTTATGTCCATTATATGGTGAATGTGAGATACAAACAATTCTGCAAGCTACCGTCATTTTCAAATTGAGAATCAACAACTCATTGCCTTTCTCTTTTATATAACAAAAGCATGTATTTTTGTGTAATCTTATTCTAAAAACCTTATAAACTACCCTTCATGGAATATTTCATAAACCAATTGTTCTCTGTGTATGGCAAAACTCGAAACTCTCTCCTCGCCAGCTGCCGAGCCGCTGTTCTCCCACATCTCGACACTGCCATTCTCCCTGACGTCCTCCCCGAAATCTCCCTCTTCTTCCATCTCCTCTTCAGTCAAATTTTCCAGCTGCTGCTTCCTCTTCTCCCCATTCCCTCCTACCCTTCTCCCTGCAGCTCCTTCCTCTCTATATTCTTCAGACCCCTGATTTCTACTCTCCGCTGGCAAACTCCCCATGTTTTCTCGCCGAACCTTTTCCCAAGCCTCCTCCCGAGCCTCCTCCTGAGCCTCCCCAACCTCCTCCCGAGTCTCCTCCTCAGCTTCTACAGTAACCCCCTGCTCCTCCCGAACCTTCTTCCAAGCCTCATTCCATGCCGTGGCAAACGCACAGTCAGCAGCATCAATCGCTGACGTGGCATAATCCTCCACGTCACCATCCAGAAAGCCTCGCCCCGTCTCCCCGTCAGCTTGGATCGGGGCTCTCAGCAGCCTCGTCAGCAACCCGTACTCTGTTGCCCTTTTAGACCGGGTAATTTCCCCTCGAAAAGTCTGCCCTAGTACACCGTGCACTGCCTCTGTGTTCTGTTGTGTTTCCATTGGAAAAGAAACAGAGATATGAAATTAGGGTTATATGGCAACATGAGGTGTAGAAAGGGGTTAAATAAGAATAATTGACAAGGACCAAACATAGCTTCTGATCAGAGAAGCCAATAATGAAAATACTAATAATAACAACAATAATAATAAACCAAAAACAGAGAACCATATAATTTTGTTAACATTCACATGCGAGAGAGAGAGAGAGAGAGAGACAGAGAGAGAGAGAGAGAGAGAGAGAGAGAGAGAGAGAGAGAGAGAGAGAGAGAGAGAGAGAGAGAGAGAGAGAGAGAGAGAGAGAGAGAGAGAGAGGGATCTCTTAGCCTCTTCCCTCAGCCTCTTCCCTCTTCCCTCAGCCTTCCCGGCCTATTAAAGGCTGTTAGCCCTCTGCTCCTGTCATTATTTTGTGTGTGGTTCATTTTCGGCAGCTCGCACCGGCGGCCTCCGGCCGCCGCGCGCTCCTGGTGGCAAGTCAACAAAGCACGGATCGCTCTTTAAAGGGATCACACACATCACAGCAGGCAGGGGAGAAGGCCGACAACACAAGCTACAGAGATGCAATGCTACACGCGGCGGAAGCCTACATCGTGTACGGCTCCGCCCCCTCAGCCTCCAGCATGGACCGCATGCACGCCGACATCGAAAGCAGGAGATGCGCCGACGACTGAACTGTGTCCACCGGGGTCCCGACTCGAGCGGCCTCCACAAGCTCCCCCACGTGGCGGGGGAAAGTACGGGCTAAGGGCGCTACCCCGGCGGGCGCTTCCGACACGGGTGCCAACGGCGACTCGAGAGATTCTACCAAGGACACGCAGGATCCTCGGGATCCTGGACCGTAACTGCTCGGAAAGCTCCGCGTGGCCCCACACACCGCCAGCTGCAGATTCGCCACCACCTCGCACGCCTCCGCCAGATTCAGAATCCGGCACATGTTCGGCATGGGGTCTCTCCCCAAGCGAGTGGGGGGAGGTGCAGTCGGAGCTGCGCGCGGAATCGACTCCGGCCAGCCAGGAGTCCGAGCAACAGAGAAGTGCGGCGAAGAGAATCGCGGGACCGGACGAGGGAAGCGATACTGAGCCCTCGCCTCCCGCGCGGGCAGGTAGTCGCGCAGCATCGGCACGCGCAGAGGGGCGGCCAGGCCAGAGCCCGAGTCGGGGGGAGGGCCGTTGGTCACCGCAATGTGCACGTGTGCCCCCTCCCCAGTCGCCCGCGCCTGCCGCACCATTTCTGCAAACACATTTGTGGCCCTATCGAGGGCAGGATCCTGCCCGCGCCTGTTCCCGCCACGACCACCGCCGTTCCACCGGCCCCGTCGGCCTCCAGATCCAGCCGATTGCGGACGCGGGGGAGACTGTTCACGGCGGCCCGAATCCCAGTGACGCCCTGGCGACCCCCTTCCCCGCCTCGCCGGAGATCGACGCGGAGAGCGCTGCGCGGGGGATCGTGCTCGCGGTGAGTGCCGGCCTGGCCGACCTGGGGGAGAACGGCGTTGAGGAGAACGAGGGCTCGCAGGAGAGCGCTCTCCATCCGCACCGCGGCGGCGAGCCTCGCGCGGACCGGGAGAGCGACGCCGTGGGGACTGCGGCTGCGGGGGCTGGCGCAGAGGTGCCCGCCCACGCTCGTCAGGCGGCGGGCCAGCCTGTTGATTCGACGCAACTCGCGCCGGCGCCCACGAATACTCAGGGGAGGTTGGGCGCGCTCCGCCCTGATGCGGAAGAGACAATCCGCGCTCCAGGCGCCGGACGGGCTCTGACGCCGACGGATGCGCAGGGATGCGGAAACGAGGTGCGGCAGGCGGCTGAGGACGGGGCCCCGCGCTGTCCGCCGTACTCTCTTGCGCGCGGTCGCGACCCGCGGAGGGGTCCATCACGCCCGATCGAACGGCCGCGGACGCCAGCGGGCCGTCAAAGGAGGAGTCTTGGAACTACCTCGGCCCCACAACCGACGCGCGGCGATGTGGTGGCAGGCTCCGCGCAGCGGGGAATCCGAGTAGGGAGAGGAGGGAGACGAGGCGGACGTAGGGGAGGCGCCGCGGTCCAGCGACGTGGTGTTAGTAGCTTCGCGAGGGCGGCTCACAGGATCCTGAGGGGACGGGCTACGGAGGGGGAGGAGTCGAGTGACGAGAACTCTGGGGGTGACCCACTTTTTAACCCTGAAAGAGAGGGGAGTTCAAGCCCCTCGCCCCAGGTGGATGAGGCAGAGCATTCACTAGACGGGGGCCAAAACCCAACCCCAACACGAGCCGCGTCTGCAATTCGAAGCGGGAGACAGAGCCGAGCCGGGGGGGGGAACCGAGCCGCACAAATTGCAGATGGCGACCCGGGCCCAGCCAATCAGCAAGATGCAGACATTTCATCTCGCCAGCCACTGTTCAGCGCTAGCGACCTGGCGCAGCGCCAGGACCTTTTCGCTGATGTCGCTACATGGGACCTCGAACCCCTTCGCGACAGTAGGCAGCCTCCGCTGGCTCGTCACCCACCCCGCACTCTTCGCGACACCTTCGCAGCTTGCCTTCTCACCCCGCTGTTACACCTCGCACACAACCCTGACTCACCTGCGGGTTGGAGACTCCTCATGTTCCTCCCGCGCATCCTTCTGCCCACCTCGTCAGCAAGGCGCCCAGACTGGTCGGCGGTTGGCGCCAGGCTGACCCAGTTCCGCCAGGGCCTATGGCGAGGCCTGTATGACGAAGCGACCGCCGCAGTTTCTGAGCCACCCCAGCCACGCCATGCGCCAGACACCACTGGCATCCTGGCAAGGGCAGAGGGACTGGCCAAACGAGGGAATCTAGCGAAATCCCTCCAATCCCTCACTGCCACGCCAGTCTCCCCCCCTTCCGCGGACGTGCTCCAGGCCCTCTCAGCGAGACACCCCTCCGCGCGCCTTGCCATTCCTGACTGGGTGCGGGACTTCTCCACAGACACGGCCCCCACAATCCCTCCACGTGACTTCAGGCGTATCCTCGCCAAATGTCCGAACGGAGTGGGCGCCGGTCCCTCAGGCACCACCTTTGAGCATCTGAGGGATGCAGCCCTTGGGAACGCGGACATTTTCCAGCAGCTGCACGCACTCACGAACACTGCTTTAGCCGGCAAGCTTAGCACGGAGGCGGCTGAGCTCCTCACAGCGTCGCGCCTTCTCGCATTCACAAAGCCCCAGGGGGGTACACGTCCGATAGCGGTGGGAGAATGCCTGTTAAGGCTGGTCGCCAAAGCCGCCTTATTTCTGGCGGCCGAGAAAGCGCGCGACCACTTTGCGCCGATCCAATTCGGCGTAGCCGTTTTGGGAGGCATCGAGGCAGCCGTGCACACCGCGAGGACGTACCTGGAGGAGAAAGAAGGGGCAGTGGCGTTGCAAATCGACCTGGCGAACACCTTCAATGCGGTCGAGCGAGCGGCGGTCTTCGAGGGCCTCAAGAGGACGAGCCTAGAATTCTTAGTACCCCTTGTCCGGCTCACCTACGGCGTCCCCTCGGCGCTACACCGAGAGTGAGAGAATTGACAAGAATCATTACTAACATTGAGGTACTTGATAAAGACGTTGAAGTGAGTGTAAGCCTCCTCTTCGGTCTGCAGCAGCGGGTGTGCGGCATGCAATGACAGCTCCAGGGCAGCTGCTGCAGCAAACATTGGCGTACACCCATGAACACTCACATTGAGGTACTTGATATACACGTTGAAGTGAGTGAAAGCCTCCTCTTCGGTCTGCAGCAGCGGGTGTGCGGCATGCAATGAAAGGTCCATGCTTGCTACTCCCCCCACGCGCACGCCGTATGTGTCCCTGTCCCTGCCATCCCCCATGGGCGCTGTTGATGCCAGCTCCATGTGAAAGGACCCTTCCCCACGCACTGCCTGACCCACCTGGAGAGGGGGAGGGAGGGAGAGGAGGGAGGGAAAGAGAGGGAGAGGGTCGGTATGTGAGCCCTGTCCCTGCCATCCCCCATGGGCGCTGTTGATGCCAGCTCAATGTGAAAGGACTCTTCCCCACGCACTGCCTGACCCACCTGGAGAGGGGGAGGGAGGGAGAGGAGGGAGGGAAAGAGAGGGAGAGGGTCGGTATGTGAGCCCTGTCCCTGCCATCCCCCATGGGTGCTGTTGATGCCAGCTCAATGTGAAAGGACCCTTCCCCACGCACTACCTGACCCACCTGGAGAGGGGGAGGGAGGGAGAGGAGGGAGGGAAAGAGAGGGAGAGGGTCGGTATGTGAGCCCTGTCCCTGCCATCCCCCATGGGCGCTGTTGATGCCAGCTCAATGTGAAAGGACCCTTCCCCACGCACTGCCTGACCCACCTGGAGAGGGGGAGGGAGGGAGAGGAGGGAGGGAAAGAGAGGGAGAGGGTCGGTATGTGAGCCCTGTCCCTGCCATCCCCCATGGGCGCTGTTGATGCCAGCTCAATGTGAAAGGACCCTTCCCCACGCACTGCCTGACCCACCTGGAGAGGGGGAGGGAGGGAGAGGAGGGAGGGAAAGAGAGGGAGAGGGTCGGTATGTGAGCCCTGTCCCTGCCATCCCCCATGGGCGCTGTTGATGCCAGCTCAATGTGAAAGGACCCTTCCCCACGCACTGCCTGACCCACCTGGAGAGGGGGAGGGAGGGAGAGGAGGGAGGGAAAGAGAGGGAGAGGGTCGGTATGTGAGCCCTGTCCCTGCCATCCCCCATGGGCGCTGTTGATGCCAGCTCAATGTGAAAGGACCCTTCCCCACGCACTGCCTGACCCACCTGGAGAGGGGGAGGGAGGGAGAGGAGGGAGGGAAAGAGAGGGAGAGGGTCGGTATGTGAGCCCTGTCCCTGCCATCCCCCATGGGTGCTGTTGATGCCAGCTCAATGTGAAAGGACCCTTCCCCACGCACTACCTGACCCACCTGGAGAGGGGGAGGGAGGGAGAGGAGGGAGGGAAAGAGAGGGAGAGGGTCGGTATGTGAGCCCTGTCCCTGCCATCCCCCATGGGCGCTGTTGATGCCAGCTCAATGTGAAAGGACCCTTCCCCACGCACTGCCTGACCCACCTGGAGAGGGGGAGGGAGGGAGAGGAGGGAGGGAAAGAGAGGGAGAGGGTCGGTATGTGAGCCCTGTCCCTGCCATCCCCCATGGGCGCTGTTGATGCCAGCTCAATGTGAAAGGACCCTTCCCCACGCACTGCCTGACCCACCTGGAGAGGGGGAGGGAGGGAGAGGAGGGAGGGAAAGAGAGGGAGAGGGTCGGTATGTGAGCCCTGTCCCTGCCATCCCCCATGGGCGCTGTTGATGCCAGCTCAATGTGAAAGGACCCTTCCCCACGCACTGCCTGACCCACCTGGAGAGGGGGAGGGAGGGAGAGGAGGGAGGGAAAGAGAGGGAGAGGGTCGGTATGTGAGCCCTGTCCCTGCCATCCCCCATGGGCGCTGTTGATGCCAGCTCAATGTGAAAGGACCCTTCCCCACGCACTGCCTGACCCACCTGGAGAGGGGGAGGGAGGGAGAGGAGGGAGGGAAAGAGAGGGAGAGGGTCGGTATGTGAGCCCTGTCCCTGCCATCCCCCATGGGCGCTGTTGATGCCAGCTCAATGTGAAAGGACCCTTCCCCACGCACTGCCTGACCCACCTGGAGAGGGGGAGGGAGGGAGAGGAGGGAGGGAAAGAGAGGGAGAGGGTCGGTATGTGAGCCCTGTCCCTGCCATCCCCCATGGGCGCTGTTGATGCCAGCTCAATGTGAAAGGACCCTTCCCCACGCACTGCCTGACCCACCTGGAGAGGGGGAGGGAGGGAGAGGAGGGAGGGAAAGAGAGGGAGAGGGTCGGTATGTGAGCCCTGTCCCTGCCATCCCCCATGGGCGCTGTTGATGCCAGCTCAATGTGAAAGGACCCTTCCCCACGCACTGCCTGACCCACCTGGAGAGGGGGAGGGAGGGAGAGGAGGGAGGGAAAGAGAGGGAGAGGGTCGGTATGTGAGCCCTGTCCCTGCCATCCCCCATGGGCGCTGTTGATGCCAGCTCAATGTGAAAGGACCCTTCCCCACGCACTGCCTGACCCACCTGGAGAGGGGGAGGGAGGGAGAGGAGGGAGGGAAAGAGAGGGAGAGGGTCGGTATGTGAGCCCTGTCCCTGCCATCCCCCATGGGCGCTGTTGATGCCAGCTCAATGTGAAAGGACCCTTCCCCACGCACTGCCTGACCCACCTGGAGAGGGGGAGGGAGGGAGAGGAGGGAGGGAAAGAGAGGGAGAGGGTCGGTATGTGAGCCCTGTCCCTGCCATCCCCCATGGGCGCTGTTGATGCCAGCTCAATGTGAAAGGACCCTTCCCCACGCACTGCCTGACCCACCTGGAGAGGGGGAGGGAGGGAGAGGAGGGAGGGAAAGAGAGGGAGAGGGTTGGAATGTGAGCCCTGTCCCTGCCATCCCCCATGGGCGCTGTTGATGCCAGCTCAATGTGAAAGGACCCTTCCCCACGCACTGCCTGACCCACCTGGAGAGGGGGAGGGAGGGAAAGAGAGGGAGAGGGTCGGTATGTGAGCCCTGTCCCTGCCACCCCCCATGGGCGCTGTTGATGTCAGCTCCACGTGAAAGGAACCTTCTACTTGCACTGCTTGACCCACCTGGAGTGGGGGAGGGAGGGAGAGGAGGGAGGGGAGAGGGGGGTGAGAGGAAAGGTGGAGAGGGTTGGAGATAATGGAGGAGAATGTGGGAGTTGCAGAAGCAGTTGTGTAGCAAGCAGCGAGCAGCGAGCAGCAACCAGCGAGCAGCAAGCAGCAAGCAACAAGCAGCAACCAGCGAGCAGCAAGCAACAAGCAGCAAGCAGCAACCAGCGAGCAGCGAGCAGCGAGCAACCAGCAGCAAGCAGCAACCAGCGAGTAGCGAGCAGCGAGCAACAAGCAGCAAGCAGCAAGCAACAAGCAGCG